AAAGAAAGAAAAAGTCTATCCTTTATGCTACTGGCCTGTTTGTACAAAGATAAAATCATTCTGATTTGTCCTGAATGACTGTCAAAGATGATCAAACCCCCGGGGCCTGGTGTAAACTTCCATATCATAGCACAAATACAGCTTGACCTTCCTCATAGTCCAGAAAGGACATTCTCCCTGAGAAATGCCCTTGGTTGCTGAGGACAGCTCTGTCCTGTAGTGGCAAAGAGATTGCCTGGCTGTGGCTCTTGGGTTCACAGAATCCCTAATCCTCCAAGCCCCTAAGAGGCAGGGCAGGGATGCTACCCACAATATATGCAGAACCCCAGAGGGAGCCCGTGGGAGAGAGGAGATTACCGTTTTCACTGTAGGCAAAGGAGAATGGCTGTCATCAGCCATATATGCCTACAAGAAGGAGCAGAGCCATACTGTCCTTGTGGGTTGGGAGAGGGGACACACAATCCAGGGACATTGTCTGAGGTCTCTAAGTTAAGCCAGAGTCAGAGCCAAACTCCAAGTCTTGGCCAAGGGGCTGAGAAAAGCAAGGAGCCAGTCTTACAGGTCAAGGAGATGAGGGATAGTTAAGAGTCATCAATATCGTAGAACAGGCCAGCAGAGCTTTATTAGGTAGGTAGAACTGTTATAAGCCAAGGATGTTGTGAGCTATTTTAATATCTGCTGGCCAGACCTAAAAACACTGAAGGCCCAAGGAAAGTGACTGGATTCACTGGAAAGTATTTGGCTTCCAAAGTATTTCCAATACCTTGAAGATTCCTTTGAAAATATCAAAGCACAAACTCAAATCTGCACAAGATTACAAAAGCACAATTTTGGTCAGTGTTATTTTTAGAATGCAATACACAAAGCTGTGTTCATTTCTCTCAGCAAGCGTTTTCCTGGGCAGTATTAATAGCTTAGGAATCAAATGCCACTTTTGTTTTTCCTTTTTTCATTAGTTTGAAATACCACAAATCCCTAGTGAGTCAGTCCTCCCAGAGGAAAAGACAGTCCTAGGGAGGACCACAGGCCGGGGCAGACAAGGTCACACCGAGAGCAGCGGAAGGAACCTGCATGCTTAAGGGACAGAGGACTGTGTTGTGTTCTGATAACAGACCCCTGGATGCAGAAGTAGTTAAAAACCAACCTTCGAAAAACAAAAATCCCAGGCTAATCCTGAAATATATTTAACTTGAAGTCTTTGGATAATTTTTTTAAGGTTAAAAAATGTTTAGGATTATTATAAATCAACATTTATAAACAAGCAACAGTGTATTTGGAATTTTTGTTTACCTGATTAAATGTTTTTGGTATGTGTATAGCTGTGGAAATGGTGAATTTGTACTTGGACTTGTGGTCTGTGGACTTTGTTGGGTGCCTCTGCCTTTCTCCCATTTTCTGCAGCCATATCCCTATTGCCAACCTCCCTTCCCATGGGCTAAAATGAGGGAGACTGAGCAGAAAGGGGTGGATTGCTGCAGAATTGATGGGGGAGTGCCCATACCCGAGTCACCTGCAAATACTCATCCATGCATTTTTCATAAATTCCTCCAAGGTAATTAAATTCAGATAACTGTTTAAATGACCTACTTCTCACCATGCCCAAGAAACACTCTTAACCCAAAGTTTTTATAGGAGCTATGCCCTGTCTATCCATCTACAGATAAATTCTCTATCCCATAATCAAAGTCAGAGGGCAAGAGGCAGATTATCGTTACCATTGAGACTCAGAACCACCTCAGGGCACGAAACCCACCTTTTCCTGACCCCCTTACCTGCTACCACTGAAATCATCTTCCGAGTGGATCGTGGCCCTAGGGTCCAGCTTGCTGGGCTTTCTGGGGTCCTCTGACACACACCCAATCTTGGAAGCGGCTGGCACTTGTGAATTCTGCCTCTGTAGAATGTTCTCTCTTTGCTGCCTCCTGATGGCTTGTCTGGCTTGCCCTGCTTCTAAGCAATATACACCATCAAAACTGCAAAATCACTGTGGGTGGGGGACCCAGTTCATTTAACAAATACTTTATTTATTTATTTATTTATTTTTGAGACGGAGCCTCGCTCTGTCTCCCAGGCTGGAGTGCAATGGCGCAATCTCGGCTCACTGCATTCTCTGCCTCCCGGGTTCAAGCTATTCTCCTGCCTCAGTCTCCTGAGTAGCTGGTATTACAGGCACAAGCCACCACGCCCAGCTAATTTTTGTGTTTTCAGTAGAGGTGGGGTTTCACCATGTTGGTCAGCTGGTCTCGAACTCCTGACCTCGTGATCCACCCACCTCGGCCTCCCAAAGTGCTGGAATTACAGGTGTGAGCCACCATGCCTGGCCAACAAATACTAAAAAAAAAAATTTTTTTTTTAGAGCAGTTTTAGATTCACAGCAAAACTGAGCAGAAAGTAGAGTTTTCATAGCCCGTCTTCCCCATCAATATCCTGCACCAGAGCAGATGAGTACCATTTTGATTTTCTTCTATTGTTTTTCCTGACGGTTACTCCTTCACACCCCACTAGTCCTCCAGTATCCTCTGTCCTGTCAATTTCCCAACACGCCGCTATAGCACATCCCTTACTGTCTTATTACAGTGGAAGAAATAACATACTGTGTACTTACAGTCTTTTCAGTTATCCTGTATAACAACCCGTCAATCTTATGGCTTCATCTTGCCCTAACATAGCCCCTGTGACATAGGTAGGGCAAATATGACCACCCCCTCCCCTTTAGAGAGGGAACAAACCCAGAGAAGTCAGGTGGCTTGAGCAAGGTACATAACTGAAAACTAGAAACTAAGACCCTTGCACTTTATGGAAGTCAAGAAGTGACCTTGCTTGGCTAAAGCTCGGATTTCTTTATCCTCTTGACCATTTACTACGTTTCCTAATGTGGCTACGCATGTGCCTTTGTCAAGCTGGATGTTGAAGTCCAGTTGAGTCTACTGAGCTTACTGAGTAATAACCTACTGCAGCTATTTTTCCGCTATACAAAAAGCTAACCCATCTTCTCAGCAGCAGATGTGTGTGGCTGTGGCAGAGAGATCCTTGTTCTCCATATGGGAGAGGGATGCCCTGCTTGACTACTGACTGGTCTGTGAGACCAGTCGTGGCTCAGCCAGGGGATATTATGTCTTACTCTCAGTATCTGACTTTGTCTTTTCTCTCCAAGACATTTAGATTCCTGAAAATAATAGGAACATTTCAACTATCTGCTAATTAAACAATAAGAGATCTATTACTTTCAACAAAAAAGGGCAGCTGTTATAGCACAAACACTGAAAGCATCAACAGAGAGGGGCCCAGGTTTGAGATAACCATGGCAAAACATCACATTTGCATTGGCACCAGCCTCTTTCAGCCACCATGTATAGTCACCAATGGTATGATATCCACTTCCAGAGTGTGATCAAAAGCTAGAGCTGAAGGCTGGTGCTGATGATGATGGATAAGCTGTCATATGATCCATAGCTCTGACCTTGGCAACTCCAACATTTTCTTTCTTGTGTCAGTGTTATAATTTTGGCAGCACTGAATGGCTGTTTCAAGATGGGTTCAATGATCAGTCCAGCATGGAATTGAATGTCTCCTCCAGCTGCTGGTTGGCAAGGAGGTATAGTGAAGATAGTTACTGGCTGGACTATAGGTCATGGAGAAGTTGCTGGGTTTATTTCTGTCCTTCACAAGTGAGACAGTTCCTAAGAGCCCACTGAATGGAAACTCAAAGACTTTTCCCACTAAAAGGGAGAAATGATGTGCCATCCCAGAAACCTACAATAGCAAAGGCCAAGTGTGTGTGTGAGGGTGTGTGTGACAGTGAGCATGCTTTTGAAATCGCGGACCACTAAACACAACACTCTGCCATGCTTGCGATTTTGCCTCCGAGATATTATGAGGCAGCAAACTAACTGCCTCACTCCCACCCGGCAGGTCTCGGTTCTAGAGGTGGCTTTGCATATCCAGAAAGTAGCAAAGAGAAGCCATAGACATGTACTATGCTCATATGGATGACAAGAGGAGGAGGGAAATCAGAAAGTATGTAGAGAATAATTTGGTGTTAAGAAAAGATTTTATTTCGTGAATGAACTGAAGAGACATGAGCATGTGAACAGACTGAGGGGAAGATACCAGCAGAATGAACATTTAGTAGAAGCGAAGGAGGTTGACTGAAGGGTTAGGTCTGCAGGAGCAGTTTTGGGTCATAACCTATAGGGTATGTAGGCCTGGGTGTAGATGACTTGGATAGTCAATAACTTGCAGTGAAATTTAAAATTTGGAGTGAGAGGTAGGCCAGAAGCCATTTCCTTCAGGGCTAGTTTATGCTACTATGTGAGCTACCCATGATGCTCTCAGTCATTTCTGCTTGAAGACTAACTCCTGTATTTGTGTAATGAGGTTCCACTTATCAGGACAGATGATGACTGGGGGTAAAAATATAGTTGACCCTTGAACAACATAGGTTTGAACTACATAGATCCACTTATATGTGGATTTCCTCTGCCATCCCTGAGACAGCAAGACCAACGCCTCCCTCTTCCTCAGCCTTCTCAGCATGAAGACCTTTATGATCATCCATTTCCACTTAGTGAACAGTAAATATATTTTCTCTTCCTTATGATTTTCTTAATAACACTTCCTTTTCTGCAGCTTACTTTATTGTAAGAATATAGTATATAATACACATAATATACAAAATATGTGTTAATTGACCATGCTATCAGTAAGGCTTCCGATCGACAGGCTGTTAATAGTCAAGTTTTGGGGAAGTCAACAGTTACATATGAATCTTCAACTGTGAGGGGGGCTGGTGCCACTAACTCCTGGGTTGTTCAAGGGTCAGCTGTACCTTGGAAAGACAAATGATGGAAGTCCTTCTATGTGATTCTATCCCACATAAGTAAAAAAGGAAAACGTTGTTAAATCTAGAAAATACAGAAAAATAGCTGTCATATGCTACAAGAGATTGGAAAATTGTGGGTCAAAGTAGCAAGGCATTAAATAAAAAGTCAAATTCAGGGTATCTTAAAACAACCAATTTCTTTAATTAGAAAGCAACAAACATGCAAATGGCAAGTGTAGAAATTTATTTGAACCAACATTTTCACTATGATGAAAATTATTCTTCAACATCGATCCAAGCTCCCACATTTGAAGGTTAGGGAAAATATTGCACTTTGCATTTTCTAGCACTCCTCATACACGGCAAAAAGTTTTAAAAACATTCTGCTAGTTTTGTTTTACACAATCTCCCAAATTCATGCACACAATCATTCCAAACCAATGTTAGGTTATCCCCAAAAAAGGGAAAAACTCCAAAAACCATAACCTTAAAATTTCACTAAAGCTCTGTAAAGAAAAAAAATATAATAAATGTCTTATACAAATTTCAGAACATTTAAGTGCTTGCCAAAAAGAGTTTATTATTCCTCATCCTCATTTTCATTCTCTTGACCAGAGCCTTCTGATCTGTCACCCTCCAACCGGTCTGGAAACACAGATAAGAGAATCGCAAAGAGAAATACTTTTAGTAATTACAATTATAAATATTTTTCAATGCCTTTTATTTAAAACTCATTAAAAATCAGTTCACCACTATGTGTGGATGTTTTTTAGAGGCAAATAAAAGAGTAGAAAAAACACAGTATTATTAGCTTTGATTATGCATGTTATTCTAAAACATATAAAAATGAAAAAAGAAACCCACTCCTATAATCCTGATATATTATATTCTACTGCAGTGGTTTTCAAACAGTGTTCTTTGGAGTCTAGGTTTCTAAGGAGGTACATCAGGTGCTGCAAAGGGGAATGAGGAGGCGGCTGTGTGAAAGAAAATATGTGGACCATTGTTGAGGATTTGTGTAATTCTGTTTGTAAAACGATTTTTTTAAATTAAATACTATGTTCCAGGCATTGTGCTAAAACCTGAGGATACAATGGTGACCAAAACAGATTTAAGTTTCTGGTCTCAAGGAGCTTATTTAGGTTAAATACTCAAGTGAATATAAACTTACAAACTGATGAGTACAGTATGCTCTGTCAAGTTTTCAGGATTGACACTTGCTATTCTTCTGCTTGGGATACTTTTGCCCAACTCTTTAGGTATAAAGGTTCTTACTCATCTCAATACAACTATTATCCCCTCTGTGAAACTTCCTGGACGTTTCCAAACAGGCTATCTGCAGAATTTTGAACTCCCTCCTCCACATTCTAGAATATCTTGTATGAACTTCATAATGATGATCCTAATTACAGTAACAGTTGTTTGCATGTCTTCTTGCAGACCAGACTGTGAGTTCCTGGAGGGCAGGAGTTACTTCTTTTTATCTTTATATCCTCAGAGCCTCATATAGGATGTTCAATGAAGGTTTACTGAATAAATGAATGTAAGTTTTAGGAAGGTAAGATACATTACATGAGGGTATTGTGAAGAAGGCAACAGAATGAAATCACTACCACCACTGAGATGGAACTAGGATGTTTCTGCCCCAGAAACATTTCCACATAGTAACATGGAAAATATTAAGGTTAAGCATAAGGAAAACAGTTCAGTCCCACTGTCAACAGCAAGAGAAGACTGAATCCTGAGATTTTATTTATTATCTACACAGGCTTAAATGCTCCCACTGGCTCCTAGGTCAACAGCTCCAAGAAAAGTACACTGAAGGGACTATATATCCCTTTTAATTGTTTAATTGTCCAAGTGAATTAGATTAAATCTCCTCTATACCAACTCTAATCCAATGTCAAACCAATGAGATAATGTATGTGTAACCTTTATAACCTTAATTATACAAATAAGTATTCAGTATAAAATAAATGAACAAAATGAACAGACCTTTATAGATCAGTAAGGAATTTAAACACAGTAGAAGAATTTCTGACCAATAAAATGCTACCTAAGGGATATTAGTATTAAAAAATTACATTGTTTTTATTGTGTGATACTTTCAAGAGAGAACAAAACATGAAGTTGCTATTCTACTTAATTAGGGCTCAGGAATGGGAAACCTGAGTTTATGACTGAATATATTCAAGAAACCTATTCTGTCATGTTAGAGCATGATAAAGCAATAACGGCCTATTTCAAAGTTGGCAGGCTTCTTACCCAAATTTCTTTTGGTTGTCACATTATAAAGAAGATGGGATAATAGAGAGTTAAGAAAAAATGTCACAGCCTTTAAATCAGTAGTGGTTAGACTTTTGCACTCAGAAGCACACAATAAAGAGACAAATGAGGGCCAAGAGTCTTTTACGATAGGTGACAGAATAAGTGACAGTGGCTTCTGAAATGAGGAAAGCAGAATAGTTGTTCTCTCCTCAAATCCAATTCATTTAAATGATGCACAATCACCTCTTCCAGAATATAAGCCCAACTTCTTGGAATAAATTAAATCTTCTGTTCATGAAATGCTACTGAAGTAGTAAGGCTGCAAAGCAGTTAAACACACAAATCTCTGGTTGGCAATTATGGACAAGAAGGTCTGAAGAACAGTGTATTCTTTTACATAAAAACTGGAAATAAGAATCACTTCTATGTATATTGTTTTTCAAAAGTAGGCAACGTCAAACTGCTTTTGTAAATAAGGTTTACATTTGCAGAAAGGTTCCTTTTATTCTCTGTTAGAATATTTCTTCAGGAAAGTATTTTTGGCGGGAAGGATATGATATGAAGAAATACTGAGTTTGCTGCAGAGAGAGGGAAGGTAAATAAGAAAAAAAATTCCCCAATGGAAGCCTGTGTTCCACAAAAAAATACTGTTGTTTTATTTTCCAGGCTATCCTTTACAAAGAATTTATTTACTTTCTTTAAAAGAAATAATACAAACTCATTGTTGGCTAGAGATTTGATACTAGATGTGTACTTATTTACCAGATTATTCAATATCTATTGAGCCAACTACTATGTGGTAGGCACTGTTTTAGGAGCCTAAAGACCCAGCTGCCAATTAAGACAAACTGGGTCTCTGCTCTTTATAAGCTTACTTTCTAAGGAGGAAGACAGACAACAAACAAGGTACCACCTGTATTTTTCTCCTCTAATCTGTAGTAAGACAATAAATAAAGAAACTAAAACTTAAGAGTGATAAGTACTTGAGGAAAATAAGGCAATGAACAAAGAATGACTAAGTGGGAGGGAAGAAATGAGAAGACACAGAAAGCAACTTTAGATTGGGTGACCAGGGAAGACTTTTCTTTCTTTCTTTTTGAGACTGATTCTCGCTCTGTCACCAGGCTGGAGTGCAGTGGTGCGATCTCGGCTCACTGCAACCTCCGCCTCCTGGGTTCAGGCGATTCTCCTGCCTCAGCCTCCCGAGTAGCTGGGACTACAGGTGCGTGCCACCACACCCAGCTAATTTTTGTATTTTTAGTAGAGACGGGGTTTCAACATGTTGGCCAGGCTGGTCTCAATCTCTTGACCTCATCATGATCCACCCGCCTCAGCTTCTCAAAGTGCTGGGATTACAGGCATGAGCCACCACACTACCAGGGAAGACTTTTCTAAGGAGGTGATATTGGAGCTAAGTCCTCAATTGTATGTGAAGTCCTGGGGGCAAAGTTGGGCAGAGGAACAACAAGTGAAAAGGTCCTAAATGTGCTATTAAGCTTGATGAGTTTGAGGAAGAGAGGCCAGTATGGCTAAAATGTAGTGAGCTAGAAAAAAAGGTGGACTGAGTGGAAGTCAGAGGTTGGCAGAATGTATGTCATGTAGGACCTTGAAGGCCAGAGTAAGAAGTCTGGGTTTTACTTTAAGAGCAATTGGGAGTCCCTGAGAATTTTAGGAGGGGACGATATCTAATTTGTGTTTTAAAAAGGTGGTCAGCAGACTATAGGCCATGGGCAAATACAGCCCACTTACTGATTTTGGTTTTGTCTGACACAGAGTCTCGCTCTGTCACCCAGGCTGGAGTGCAGTGGCGCAATTTTGGCTCACTGCAACCTCCACCTCCCGAGTTCAAGCGACTCTCCTGCCTCAGCCTCCCAAGTAGCTGGGATTGCAGGTGTGCACCACCACGACCAGGTAATTTTTGTATTTTTAATTTTTTGTATTTATCTTTTTGTAGAGATGGGGTTTTGCCATGCTGGTCAATTCCTGACCTCAGGTGATTCACCTGCCTTGGCCTCTCAAAGTGCTGGGATTACAGGCATGAGTCACTGTACCTGGCTCTGTTTTTATAGATTAAATTTTATTGTAACAGAGCCATACCTGTTCATTTACATACGGTCTATGGCTGTTTTTGCATTACAATGGCAGAGCTGAGTGGTTACAATAGAAACCATATCTGGCTATTAACAAAAAAATTAATTGACCCATTTTGAAAGCATCCCTCTGGCTGCTGTGTGAAAATCAGACTGAATGAGGACAAGAGAAGTAGAAGCAGGCAGATCAAGGGTATGTAAATATTAGGTCTACTCTGGAGTAAAGTTAGTATCACTTACTGATGGAGTCAATCTGAAAACGATTTAATAAGTTACTGTGATCTCAATAGGATGACAGGCTTTGCAAACCCATGACAGAGAAATGAAAATTATCTGTGCCAAAGTCCAGAGGTATAATGGGAAGAATGTCAAGAGATAATGCAGGGTTTTATAAGACATGTTAACACATTTGGACTCTACCCTAAGAACATGTGTGGGCAAAGGAGAATTTTACACAGGGCAGTAAAGTGATTCTAAGACATTCTAGAGGAGTCTAGAATGATCCATGCACACCATTACCATCTTTTCAAAGCCTCTCAAAACTTCCAGGGATGTCAGAACTGCCTTTCCATCTCAAGAGGCCACTAGACTAGCAGTCTTTAGTGCATTATTCATGAGATGAACTTTGGTTGCTTTTTAAAAATGTAGAAGCTTAATCTCTATCCAGCTAAAATGAACCAGAATCTTTAGCAGGTGAGACCTAGGTAAGTATTTGTAGTTTGTAAAAGCCCTACAGGTGATTTGAAGAGGATCCTTCATTAAAAATCACAGCTCCAATAGAAAGAAACTGTCTTCTATCTATTCCCTGGACTTCCTAGGAAGCCTTCTGGAGTAATGGAAGAGCCAAGAGGTACTTTGTGGCTACCATGTGCTTATTTGATCCAAGTCCATTTTTAACTCTCCTGAACATGCACACATTATTGTACTTGGAATGCAGGACACTGGATAGGAGAGGAAAAGAGTGGTTGACTAACTGACCCATCAAATAACTAGATATCTTAAGGATAAGGGCAGCAGAAATACAACTCTTGGGCACTTTATTCTATCTAGTATTTTGTATAAGAGAAGCAAGAAGACAAGCTGACTAAATCAACTAGAAATTGTCTTTTTGATTGCTGGCAAAAAGAGATGAAAGAAAGAGAATTTTTATATTATAAAACATCTTATCTAATTCTAAAACCAAAGAAGGATGGTAGTAGCTATTAACTAACCAACCATTGCCACATTAGCACAAATTAGATTTTTGTGCAACTGGAAAGAGAATTTTCTGCAGGAAAACTACTGAAGAAGAGCCATCCACTAGATGGGTAAGCACATTTTAGGTGTCATTACCAGTAAATGTTTTTCTTGTTTTAAAATGCGGCTTCCTCAAATGTGGAATTCAAATGGATGAATTTTACGGGTTGCTTGCTGTTATTGAACAAAATATATTTTTAAAAAGTTAAAGTGTTATTACAATTTAATAAACAGAGGAACCCAAAGAAGTATTACAAAAACATTTTGTTGGTCTACTAACATTTTTTGTTTACATTCCAGGTTTATTTTTTGTTGTTATTTTCACCATTTGAAGTTTTCCCTCCTTCCTGGTAATAGTTAACATTTACATTTGAGGATTATTTTCTCTCTAATTCTTTTAATTACAAACATATGGGTCTTCTTTCAATTTTTCAGATGTGCTACACTTTCTCTCCTCTGTAAGGGCTTAGAAAAATGCTATCTGCTGTCTACTTTGTGTGGAATACTTGTTTCCATTCCCCACTCTCTCTGAGGAAGTGATATTTAGTTCATTGCTCATGCAGTTCTTAAAATAAGAAGTTATCTTAACAGAGTGAGGATGGGAGGGGACAGCACGATTATAAAAACGCTGAGGTGGGAAAGAGTTTGATGTATCCCCAAAAATCAAAGAGGGCCAGTGTGGATGGAGTAGTCACAGAAGAAAAGAATGCTGTAAATCAGCTAGAATAGTTTGAGATTAGACCATCCAGAGGTTTGCATGTCATATCAATGATTTCAATATAGTTCTGTAAGTGAACCTTACAGTTCAAAGGGGAGTAAGGGCTTGGTAGCTAATTTCAAATTCTGGCTTTAACATTTATCAGTTGTGTGACTTGGGCTAACGATTGGAGCTAAATGAGGATAAAACTGTGAAATAATTAGTATAAGCCTGATACATTATAGTTACTCTATAAATGGTAGCTATTATTATTAAATGAGAGCTAATACCAAACGTATAGAGACATTTATGAAATCAGTGAAGAGTGATAAACTCTTTTGTTTGATAAACGTATTTTGCTTATAACAGATACTAGACTTTTTGTTATAAATTATTCGATTCCTTCTTGAACATTAGTTGTAATATATGCATTTTTATGTATCTGTGGCACTGCACCTCAGAGTTTATCTAAAACAAAAAAATACTGAAAAAACAAACTGAGGTATGTTTCATTTCTTAGCATGTAACGTTTATTTTTGTCTGGGCTATGACTGATTTTCAACAAACCTACCATTAAAGAATATGCACTATATCTTAAGGTCTACAAATGTAGTTCATGAGGAACTAAGTTACTGTGCTAAGAACAAGCATTCACAGAAATCCTAGTTTAGAAGTTAAGCTACCTTCATTTTGTTGTATTAAAAAATATATAAACCCCTTTAAAGTAGATCTTAAATAATAACATGTTTTTCAAATATAAAAGTGGTTTTCGTAGTATACTTAAAGTTCCTACCAGCTCGGATATGATTCAGTGAAGCCAACATCCTCAACATGAAAGAGGCTGGAACTGTAATGGTGTTTCTAGTTTCTTCCAGCATGAGTTCATTTCGAGTTATAACCTACAAGGCAAGTTAAAAATCATATCAAAGATCAAAGAGTAACTGTACCTTTTCCTTGAAGATCAGGCAAACAATAAACAATCAGCCAGTACCAGGAGGAATTACTTCATTCTTTATGCATCTGATGTCTACATTTCTGCCTTAAGTCTATTCAATGCCAAACAATCACCGTAGCTTGCATTTAAAGGAGGAAGGTCAGAGAACACAACTCTTTCAACTGGCAGAAAAACAAAGGTCAAACTTAAAACATGAGGCTGCTTAAAACAGTTAAGAATTTAATTTAGCTTTTACTTGCAATTTCTTTCTGAGAGCAATTTACTTTGTAGGTTCCTTGTTTTCCCTACAGGAGAACTGATAACTTTAGCGATACAATACAGTTAAATTATTATCCATGGGCCACTTGAATCCGTTCAGAAGATATTGCCTTGACTGAAGCAGAGTAGTCTTCAAAAATAAATTTTGGGGCAAGGGTTAACAAGGAACTGAGCCTTAAGTACCAAGAATAGTACTTGAATATTCGTGAACATCCAGAGATGCAATATGTAACCATGAGCAAAGGAAAAAAGTGGAAAAGCAAAAAACATGGCAAAGGAAAAAAAGGATGAAAGGAAGAGTATCAGATGAAAAGAAAGATGCTACTCTGATCAACAATTCCCCAATATTGAAATAATAAATTCCCAACTCATTAGGGTGCCTCACAGGGCCCTTTATAATCTTACCCTCACCTACCTGTTTAGTTTGATTGAGCTACTTTTGTGCATGTACTCTAGGGTTCCAGGCACACTGATGGTTCATTTACCCTCTCATGCTTTGGCACATGCTGATCCTTCTGTCTTAAATGCTCCTTTGCTCCCAATCTGCCTGGTGAACTATTCTCAGACTTCTGTCCAATTCTTATTTCTTCTGTGAAGACCTCTCCACCCCATCTACCCCACTTACAAACACAGCTGTTCCTCTCTGTGGGCTTCCGAAACACTGTGTGTATACCTCTGACGGACACAGACCCCACCACAGTATGTTCTAGTTGTTTACATTGTCTTTCCTACTAAACTCTGAGGGTAGGGCTTTATCTTTTTTAAACCCAGCATTATGTATAACACATACATCAAGTGTTTTATAAAGGTCTATTCAATGAGTGAAAGTATACATGGGAATTGTGCTACGAACAGTCAGTCTAGAGTAGTGGTTTTCCAACTTACTAACATTTTTAGCAATGGATTCTCATTTTCATAAGAAATAGTATATGAGAACCCACAAATAAAAACCCTGGCTGAAGTTGGGGAGGAAAGGCCCAGAGTAATGCCTTCCTATTATCTACCTTCCCTCTCCCAATCCCAGAAGAAATCTAGAGCTCCAAAGAACTCAGGTTGAAAATACCGTTTCAACAGGCTTAAAAATATCTTAAAATATAATGATAAAGGAAAAGATTCTTCAATCATTTGTGCTGCTATATACTAATTCTGAAAAAGTTCCATTTCCTTTTTAAGAAAAACTCAAAATGGAAAAATAGCTATACTAAAAATGGAAAAATTGCTATGCTTTTGGAGAAACAGCCATAATAAAATTAGTTTCTTAAAAGGACAGAATTTTTTGTGTGTGATTCCTTATTGTAATGACGTGAATACTCAAACCTGTTTTTCTTAAACTACACACTAATCTGGTATTACTGATGATCAGTATTATAATTAGTAAGCTACTATTTTGATTTTACCTCCCTAGTATTATAGACATACTTTTATCTTAATTTTTCTTTTTCTTAAAATTTGACCTCCTTAACTGCATTAACTTGTTTCATATTAGCAACTAATAATAAACTGTTTTAATTTTTCTTAGGGAAGCATTTTAGGAACAAATTGAAATATGGTCTATAGTAAGTACAATAAAAATCTTACTTCATCAGCAAGTTTTCGGTTAAAAATCCTTGACTCTTCTAATGGTGACCAGATCTTTATGTCATAATCTATGCCAGATGAGGCTAAAACTAGAAATGAAATTTACATATTAATATGAAACCTAGAAACATGCCATTAATTCAAGACATGCTTATATTATGCATATATGTATATATAGCAAAACTGAGCTTGAACAGCAATTGTACACTACACATTTAACTGTTAATTGAAAATATTATTTTGACAATTTCCTAAAGTTATCCTAGAACATAATTTTAAGACCATGTTGAAGTCACTCCAATTCACTGTTGAGGTCACTTATTCATTGTTCTTTTATGAGATATGTGGGCAATTTCAAAAAGAAGACAAGAGCAATGCTCTTTTGTTCTGATAAATTAATTCAGACATGGGAAGACTACAAATGACTGGATGTTCAATTTGGATATACAATAAAAAGTTTAGTCATATCAAACCTCTTACAGCTTGTAAAACTTAGAAGAAATATTGGGAGGATAAACTTTCTAACCTATTTTCTTTTACTTTGTGCAAAAAGCAGATTATAGGGGTGTCTGAAGTTCAAGTACAGCTATTATTGACTCTAGTGGTGCCTAGTCAGATAATTTGGATCATTCTTATAATATTAACAACTAAAAAAAAATTTTTGTGTGTGTGACTGATGAGTCATACAAGTAATTTCTAGCCCTCGCCCTAGAAAAGAGATCTTACTTGGGTCAAATGGATGTGGCTGCAGGCAGTTTACCACATGATTATCAGCTTCCAGAAGCATCAAATGCTCAGCAGTGTGCCGATCCCAGATGAAAATGTGGCCACAGTCAGAACCACTCATTACAAAGTTAGCACCCCAGAAATTGGCTTCTTTTATCTAAAGGTTGAAAAAAATTATTTAAAAATTCAAATCAAAGTTATTAAAACAAATATTTATGCTGTTCTTACCATTTTTTTCATTCTTACATTTTTAAAAAACTGCCTTAGAAAATAGTAAAATTAAAAATTGATGCTGGGCACAGTGGCTCACACCTGTAATCCCAGCACTTTGGGAGGCCAAGGCAGGAGGACCGGCTGAGCTCAGGAGTTTGAGACCAGCCTGGGCAATACAGTGAGATCCTCTCTCTCTAAAAAAAAATTTGACAAAAGTCTGACTTCTAGTTTCTTTAAATTATGATAGAAATTCATCAGCAAGGGTAAGATGGCAGTAAGTAATAGAAAATCCCCTTTAAGAATAGGGATTTTGCTTTGTTCAATACTGTATTTATAGCACCTGAAACAGTCCTTAGGACACAACAGGTGCTTAATTATTTACTGCTAAATGGATAAATAGGATTTCTGGGTTTTGGACAGTGTAATGGTAATGTATATATGTGTGTGTGTGTGTGTGTGTGTGTGTGTGTGTGTGTATATATATGTTGTTGAACTTTCCAAAAATTGTACCAATTTAGCTTTATAAGACTATGAAATAATTCACAGAAAAAAGAAATCATCTTTTGTATTTTGCTTTAGACTCAAAGAATAGAAAGCACCAATTTTTTCATTAACTATTATAAGCTAACACAATTGAGAAAGATATAAACATATTTAATTTTTGAAGCAGAATAAAAGGCATATGATATACTGGAATAGTTATAATGACATTTTTAAATGAATGCACACGAGTGAAACATCAAAAATCTTTGTATTTCAAACGAGGATTTTAAAAACCTTTAACTGCAGCTGCTACTTTGCCGTTTTTGGTGCTCTCACAAAAGAGGGAAGACAATTTTATTGTTATCTGAGCTACTGTTACATTTACTTAACTTCTCCTTTCTCACTCCTTCCTCTAATTATGTTCATACTAACTTTTAGGCAATAAAATGCAAGAAATATAAATTGGTTACTTCTATTAATAATGAGAACCTTTTAAAAATGAGTAAATTGTAACTAGCAATGATATTTATAGAAATAGCTAATTACTTCCCCACCCCAAAAGTTAATTTTTTAACCTAGATCCTAAAGAAAGCAAGATACAAATTCATCAGCAAGAGTAATACAGCAATAATAAGGATTAAAACTGATTCTGTAGATACCTTATGATGCAATGAATATGAGGAGAACAACACTTTCTAGATATAAAGGGATCAGAGTAACAGTTACACTAGTCATCTCAAAAACTTTTCTTATTAAGTAATTAATATCACACTGGGTATAGAAACTTGTAGATTGTAAAAACTACAAAAAGATTTCACAGATATTTCTGGTCTATTCTTATTTCATCTGGTAAGTCACTAAAACAAATTTTCACTTGTCGATCTTGAAAGTGGTAAAAGTGGCCTGACTATATTTTGCAATCAACTTAGATTTTATAGATCCAAATCCTTCTCTCCAAAACTAACAAAGAAAGCTAATACAAGCTAAAAAAAAAAAAAAAAAAAAAAAAAACACAAAAAATTTTTTGGGAAAAAAAAAAAAGGGGGGAAAAAAAAAAAAAAAAAAAAAAAAAAAAAAAGCAATGATTACTTGTATAAACTAAAAATTTTTTTAATCTATATTTTTTTTAGTAGAGTTTTCTTGTAAAAAATAATGGTCTTTCACAATATATTATAGGACTAAAAGAACCATGTTGGATAAAGAGATAACCAAAGATTTAATAAATGTAATACTGAAATCCCACTGGCAATATACGAAGATAAATCATTACGGGAAAACATTCATAGTATGAAACTGCAATTTCACCAAAAAATGCCATGAACATTTGGTACCATTGTCCTGGAGTTGCGATGGCCTTTATAAACCATTTTTACTAATGGCCTTCTAATGTTCAAAGTATCCAATTCTTCCATTTCTTTCCGTTCTTTTCTCCGTCTGAAGAACTCCTGAATACGGGCAACAGCAGAGCGTCTATGAATCACATATTAAAAAGCAAAAATAAATAAAAATATTCACAAAGAATGATCATGAGAAGCTGATGGAAATATAGTACATCTAGGAAATACATGAACATATTATCTCAATAAGGCACCCCCAACCAAAAGCATAAAAAGGCAGACACAACAGTGAGACATAAGACTAGTTGAGTTACTACAACAAAGTATTTTAGTTAAAAGATCACTTAGAAATTTGATACTGGTTGAAAAGTAAAGGCAATAGCATGCGGCAAACTGGTTTTTAAAGGGCTATTTTATAAAAACATAATACAGACAAAATTCATGTGCAATTTTACTATAAATAAATTTTATCCAATGTTCTTTCCCCTCTTCTCCAATTTAAGAAAACACATAACGAGAAATGAAAAGAAACTAAGGCTAACATATAATAGCAGTGGATAGACTTCTATTTTGAGATTTTATTTAAAATACTCCTTAAAGAAGTTCCAAAAACAGACTAGGTAAAAAAAATAATGAAACCCCGTCTCTACTAAAAATACAAAAAATTAGCCAGGTGTGGCGGCAGGTGCCTATAGTCCCAGCTACTCAGGAGGCTGAGGCAGGAGAATGGCATGAACTCATGAGGCGGAGCTTGCAGTGAGCCAAGATCGCGCCACTGCACTCCAGCCTGGGTGACAGAGCGAGACTCTGTCTCAAAAAAAAAAAAAAAAA